GAATTTACATGAATGTGCTTTTTGTGTTTATCCATTCATATTATATTGTATTTCACACTAATAACTAATAAGGGTTTAACTGCAACTGATTTGTGCAAAAATAACATCGGGTGACAGGTCTACAATTTTTTTTTTGCATTGTACACTCCAGCGGGAAGAATCCCCCTGTAGTGACATACAGCGCAGTGGGAGAGGTTTCTCAGGAGTTTGGCACAGTGTGTCTCAAGGAGCTATGAAAGGTGTGTGCGAAAATGAATGCTGAACAACCACGTATTGCATGTTGTCTGCCGATCGACCATATTGAGCCCTAAACTGTTGGATTGACAACCAAGGGGAAGGGACATCTATAGATTGATTGGAATTAAATTAAAGTTTGTTTGGCCAGTGAAAAATAAAATTTTGCTTGGCCTAGTTTTTCACAAGCACTGAAGAGCTACTTTAAATGAGCTCATGAGCTGCTGGTTGGAGACCCCTGGTTTAGAGGTTTCCCTGCTTCAACACACCTGACTGAAATGAACGAGTGATTGACAGGTTTCTGCTAAACTGGACATTCTGAATAGGTAGATTAATAATGTGAATCAGGTGTGCTAAAACAGGGAAACAGCTGAAATATGAAGGACAGTGGGTCACGAGGAACAGGGCTGAAGACCTCTGCTGTAGGTTTAGTTTATATCAGTGGTGGGCAGCACTAATCTAAATTTTAGTTGCACTAACCCTAAAGCACTCACTCAAATATTTAGGTCCCCTAATTCTACAGCACTAACACACTGAAAATTTAAGCAAAAGCTAGATCTAAAGCACTAAAATAATCCAGCTGACACATGAAACATTCTTCAGAGTCAACATGAGATAATATTTACTGTGTGCAGAATGTTGTCATTTAGTGCCCTTGGTGGGCCAAATGGGTCAAATGGCCTAGAGTTTGACACAAGTGACCTTGTAGATAAGTGACACACATATGAACAAAACGTGAAACAGCTTTCAGCTTCAGCTGTTGATCAATAATGTTGATCAGTAACATTTAAAGGCCTCAGTTAGTGCTTCTAAATTTAGCACATAAATTTAGCAAGTGCTAATCCACTAATGAATTTAAAAAATAGCAAAAGCCCTAAAGCACTAATCAGGAAATTAGTTTCCCTATTAGTGCTTTAGGGGAACTGTGCCCACCACTGGTTTTTATACAGTAACTGCTGCATCTGAGGTGCACGAAGGAGCGTTATCGCAGATCCTTCCTCCCAGCCGCTGTCAGACTCTGTAACCAGCACCAAGCCCAAAAATCACAATAAGGTTTTACACACCTGCTGCTGCCCACACAATCAATTGCACTGTTATTAATTACTATCATTAGTCATCTGAACAATCATTTGCACTACTACTCATTTGTATTACTAATCTGAGCAATTGCCTGCTCTGTTATTACCCATTTTAAACTTTTAAAATAATTCAGCTGTAATTGCACATCTGTGTATATTGTCTGCACTGTGATACTTTACAGTTAATTGTCTGTTGGGATTGTTTTGCACTGAAAATAGTCAAATTCTGATAAGTAGCCACAGTCTCTAAAACAAAACATATCTTTTATTTGTTCTTGCACAGTCCCTTATATGATTTTTTATTGTTAGTAGTAGTATCATTGGTAGTTAGTGGCAACTGGTAAACTGTTAAGGCCAGAGGTCTTTCTTCTATGTTTATACTAAAGCATGGAATGACATTCCTCAAACCATAAAGTCCATTTCAAAACTYCAGCCCTTTAAGAAGAATCTTGTCTGCCATCTGCTGGACACTTTTTGTTGTGCTCATATTTAGACGTCCTATTTTGCAAATGCTGCCTTCCTGAAAT